ATGGCTGCCCAAACCATAACAGAACCCCCGCCATGTTTCACTCTTGGCAACAAGCAGTCTGTATTATAGGCTTGAGATGGCGTTCTCCAGACGTAAACTCGGCCAGAAGTGGGGAAACAATGTGAAAGAAGACTCGTCAGACCATATTACTCGTTTCCACTGCTCTATAGTCCAGGCTTTATGACTTAAACACCACCTTTTCCTGTTACGGGCATTAGCATCACTGATGAGTGGCTTCTCAATTGCAGCACGGCCAGCAATTCCCTGTTTATGAAGCTCCCTTCTAATTTGTTTTGGTACTCACAGGGTTCGGTAATACAACATTCATTTCAGCAGTAACTTTTGCAGCTGTGGTCTTCTTATTTTTCGTCACAATTGCCCTTGATGATCGTCTGTCACGATCACTCAGGACACACTTTCGTCAGCGCTGTGATTTAGCAAATGATGTTTTTTCGCTTTTCAAATATGCGGAATAAATCTTCGATACAGTACCTCTTGAAACACTAAACACCTCGGCTATCTTGCTTACGGAAGCACCTACCATACGTGCTCCAACAATTTGCCCACGTTCGAAGTCTGTTAACTCTGACATAATGCAATGACAACCTCACATAACAGTACTCCGACAACAACTGAACTGTTTAGCACATTTACGTAGTTGTATAGGTGGCGTCAGTAGTCAAAAACGCCAGCGTCACCTACATGTTTCATTAAAATCAATCTTTCTTTTCAAACATGCATTTCACAAGGTGTTTCCATATTTTTGTCCATCCACTGCAGCAAGACACACTGAATGGTGACAAAAATGATAACAATGATGATAACTTGCAAGTTGCAGCAGATGACAGACAGGAATTATAGCAACATTAAATGATTTGAAGTCTAGGGAATAGCACTACAGACCACACACCACACTAGGATCAGGTGAGAGTTAGGATACAAGGATAGAAATGTTATTGTATTAGGTATTGTAATGTTAACAGTACTAGGTATTCTTATTGACATGTAGGTTTTTCTTAAATGATACTGAGATCATTAACTGGTAGTTTATTCATGAATATTTTTCATTTGCTATATTTTCACTGTAACTGCATCCTTTGAAAATATTCGCATAATTTTCCCCTATCGATTTTCACTTGATAAAATTAGTGGAAAAAGGGGGGAGGAAATTGGAACCAAAAATACTAAATTGTTCTAAATTCTTCGAGAAAAATAAGGCTCAATAAAACTATGCATGACAGAAGATATACGATGGAATGTAATACCAGTAAAATAAGTGAATAATAGTTCAAGAGAAAGCCTTATTTATTACAGTTCATATAAAGGCAGAAACAATCTGAAAAAATAATAGCCTGATCTGATTGTGAATATGTTTGCCAAACAATATCTACTAGAAATCAAAAAACCTGTTTTATTAATCTACTCATGTTCAAAATATATTTTGTGTAAGTATGTAAAAATGTAAATAATAATAATAAAACTTATTTTGCATATGTATGTAAAATGAATTTTGTGAGTATTGCACATAAAACAAAGGTGCATTTTGTGTTTAGAAATAAAATATATATTGTGGGTACTAATTAAATACACAAGTACCATAAAATATTAATATGATAAATTATTAATTTTGCTTACTTTTTAGACTCTCAAATTTAAAGAAATCTTTAAATAACAAGGAATAAGCAAACTGACATTCTGTGTAGCGGTGGTTTCCAAAGACCATTTTGGACAAATTTCAGTTTAGAGCCTTGTTCAACCACATAAAAAAAAATTGCAACTTTGCAGCATTTTAATAATTGAATGTACGGGGAGGTAAATATGAAAACATACCTTTCAGATCATCAGTTACAACAACTTCGTCTACCCTACTGAAAATATTTTCAGAAGCACACATAAGAGAAAATATAGGCAGATTTTTGTTAATTAGTTTGTTGAACGAAAAAAGATCAGAGGTTGATTGCAAAGTGCTCTTATACGCGGGGTATACATAACCGTAATCTATAATCAAAGCAGCTCCTTTATTCTATATATCTTCTTCTCAAGTTTTTTTAATATTTCAACTCCAGTTGAACATATTTCCACCACTGCACTACAAAAAGTTTCAAAATTTATTTTGTTATATATTTATGAATATTTATTTAAAATTTTTAATTAACTTATAAATATAAAAATTAACTGCTAATAATGATGAAAATTTAACATTTTTACTTCATTAATATGCTATTATCTTTCAGTACTTTCCTTTTTGTCTTTTTTTCCCCTGAGAGAGATTATAGGCAAGAAGATCACAATAATTTTAAACCATATTCATGCGAGTCATAAAGACTTAAATGTTAGAAAAGCGCCATTATAAGTGAGAATTTGTTAGGGAAGCACTACTGATACATACCCTCACAAAAGTATCAAAATAGTTCATTTCATACAAACATTAGCATTAAAATTACAAAACTTAATCACTTTATATTAGACCACCAAAAATCTAAAAAGTGTAATTAAAAATATCTGTACATACATGTATTCATTAAATACTTCTGATCTTGCTTCCCATTTAATTTTTTTAAATTTATACATATGTATATTACACATTTATCTAAAATATCCTTAAAAAAATTTATTAAATTTCTAAATAATTAAAACAGCGGTACAACTCTAATATACGCCCTAATTTGACCAAATGTGGCGATATGTGTTCTGTGCTGGTTTTTGGCGCGATTGCGTGTTCTATGGCAACTCTGTTGACGTTGAAAAATCTTTCGCTGGAGCTCGTGATTCGCCTCTGTGTCTGAGAAGATGGGAGGGAAAGATAAAATGGTAGTTGTTGAATTGAAGTTCGGCAAAAGGAAATATGATTGTGGCTATCCTGTTGAGGGGCAGTGGGTATTTGGAAGTGTGGAAAGAGGGTCTGGGAGATTATTTTTAATGGCAGTGCATGATAGAAGTAGGGATTTGTGATTTTATTTATTTATTTGTGAACCATAGTATAAAATTTCTGGATAGTGTGTCTGGCTGTCATGTAAATACGATAGTGATAGTGATTATGTGGCGGCATGTTAAAGGTGGTGTGAAATTTATATTTCTGCTATTCGAAAACGCATTAATTCATGGTAAGTGCATTTTATTTTATCCTTGTTTCTTATTTTGTAGAATGTTATGTTCATTGTTTCTTTAGTATGAATTACTGTCGTTATTGTTGTTTTTTTTTAAATTGTTTGACATTTATTTTAGTTAGTTTAGGTTATTTTGTTGATTAGTGCGCAATGCCTAGATTTGTGCAATTCGCAGATGTTTTTTAAAGTTTAAATATAACTCTTGTGTACATGGTTATTATTTGAAATTTATTGTTGTTGTGTTAATTTTATTAAAGCCGAGGTGTGCGTAGTTCGTAGATATCCTTCGCTGCCTAAATTGTGCAATTCGTAGATTTTTTTTAAAGTTTAAACAGGATGCTGTGTACATGGTATTCTTTGAAATTTATTGTTGTTATGTTAATTTATTTAAAGCGAGGTGTGCGTAGTTTGTAGATTCGTTCGTTGCCTACATTGTGCAATTCATAGATGTTTTTTTAAGTTAAAAACATGTCGCTGTGGTACATGGATTCTTGTCAAATATTTTTTGGTTAGAAACTTTACGTTTTGCCATCTAAATTTTTTGTTTTTGTTTTGGATTTTTAGCTAAATTGCGTGTTCAAAACGTAGTTTTTGCAGACATTTTAGGCTAAAAGTTCAAAATGTAGACAAAAAATTTTGATAGTAATATGGCAGCGTGAAGTTTCTCGCCAAAAATATTTGGCGAGAAATTTGGCGACTTGAGGGCGCATATCAGAGTAGTTCCAAAACAGCTAAATAATTCACAGAATAAAATGATTAAATATTCATACAAAACATAGAGCCAGCAATAAAACAACAATTCCAGAAATTATATTTCAGTTAAATTTCTTACATAAATATATAATAAATATATACTAAAGCTATTCATATGGATATTAATTTTTGTTTGACAAAGGAAACACAGCTCTGTTTCAAGTCTTATTGGGCAAAGACTTTGTCTTTAAATTTCTCATTGAAGAAGAAAATCTGTGTATCTGTGATGATTTGAGAATGTTGCAGACAGAATGTTGATGCATACGGAAGAAACTGCAGATGTGGCCAAATTAAATATTCCTTCCTATTTTGGCTGACATATATTTTTAAGCCTACATAAATTAAATTGGTAAAATAGTGCCTGTTTATGAAGAGCTAAACTGATAGAATTACACTTGAAAAATATAATTCTGTAAACAGATGAAGCTGGACGTTAATTAATACAGAAGAAGAAAGCCAAATGTGATATATTCCAAGTTAAAAGCCCAATTCAAAAGAAAAAAGCTTACAATTTAAAGTTTTCCCATTGCCTACCAAAATTTTTGATCCCGGCTATTTAAATTTCAGTTTATAAATTATTTGCATCACTTGGAGAAATATCCATATTAAAATACAGAATTAAATTTTTAAGCCCAATTTAAAATATATATATATATATATATATAATTTTCTAAATTTGCATGTTTATCCACTATGTTCTCAAATAATACACCTATTTGATTCTGTGCACATGGCTAAGAAAGATTAAAATTTAACCAAAAAAAAAATTACACACCAAAAAATATTCAATAATATTTGATCACACTTTATTTTAATTGCGAATGTAGATTTTGCTACTTTTACATTTTTCAATACATGAATAAAACTAAATTTACCAGTGTACTTAACATAAATCGCAAAGCAATTTTCCAAAAAAATTATTTAATAACAAATGATGATCCTTACGGAATGTTAACCATTTACACAGACCAATTTTTTTTCACTTATTATTTCGCAAAACTGAACTAACATCCAAGAACATAATATCTAACTAATCAATGTATATACAACAAAACTAATTTCCCGCCTTTTAATTTCAGAATCAGTTCACTTTGCACAGAAACAAATGTAACATTTAACTACATATTTACGTAAAATTACCATCTGTTACTTCCAGTACACTGATCTGCTGTTCTGCACTTATTCTAACATCGTGAATAGGAGATAATGTAGATGTTAATGTTTCAAAGAGTGCATCTTTTAAAGTCCGGCTTACTTCCCTCGTAGGAGCCGACATCTTTTTCTTAAGCTGGAGGTTACGGTTGCACGAGCGTTTCATGTTTTATATGGAAGGGGCTAAGCACAAAATACCGCAGAAGCATCTTCCAAAACAATTTCATAATAATAAGACGTTTAACAAAATGTAGGCTTTAAGCTGAAAATTTTCATTTGTTTAAATGTTCATTCTTTTAACTTAATAGTTGCGATTGCATTTTAAAATTTTTTCTATCAAACTTGCTCGTCTAACAAAAAGTATTGAAATTAAATTCAAAAGCACGTTCTAATCATCGTTACGAATGTTACAATACACTACCGATAACTCTGAATACTTTATTCCTCAAAAGAGAATTCCGAATACTCCACTGAGCTTGGGTTACTAACACACACACACTACGTTCAAATTATTGTGAATAAATCAGGCCTAATGATATTACAGCGATCTACAGAACATCTCAACTCTAGCAACACACTCCGTAGAATTTTGAGCATTACGCTCGCGAATTTGAATTAGAATTCTTTAACCTAGCGTAATTGAGCTTTTTTGGGCTAGCGGTCAAGTTTTTGATGTAAACAACAATCGGAACTGTGAATTCTACTTCCGGTATAATGTTTCTCTGAGGAGTTTCGCAGTTTTTCATGCTATATTTTCTAATTTTAAGTTTTCATTTCCGCCCCATATTTTTTGCTTAACGTTTTATTTATAATTAAATCTCTTGTATTTTAGTAGCGAAAAATATTGCTATATTTATTAATAAAGAATAATTTTAATGCAAAAATTGCCAGATTTGTTTTGTTATCGCTACTTTAGCGACTTTTTGATTTCCCGAGATTCCGACATACATAGTGTTTGTAGTATCAAGGCTCGTTTCCACTACTGCATACGAACGCGTTGCGTCAATTGAAGACACGCCTACGGCATCTGTACAAGCGTTTCCACTGCCGCGTATCCCTAGATTTTTTCATTTTTCGCCGCTAGGTGTCTCTGTAATATTTTGGCGCCAAACAGCCAGTTCGCCAGTTAGAGTGAACATCTGAATTTCCCGTTAGGGTGTTGAACCCCAAACTCTTCAAAACTTGTGTGATTGCATTTTCAAAAATCACACTTTTATTTTCTAAAAATACATCTTAATCTCTATGAAAAAGAACGTAAAAATATCTAGGTAATTGTATTACTCTTGATAATGATAATGTGGCGACTCTGTAAACATGTGTTGTACTCGCCAACCGCGCGCCGTTATCACTAACTGTAACCGAAGGTGATTTCGGCGACACACAGTCACGTCTCGTCGTCGGTGCGGTTGGTCGCTCGCTTTCCTCCAACGTGATTGTCTGTCGACTGTAGTAATTAAGTTTTAATATTGTGATGTGATTAAATGTTTTTGTTATCAAAAATTGGCTCTTATGGCATGTTATGAATTCATCCTTAAAAGCACTGGCAAATTCCAATACGCATAGTTTGTTGTTGCACACAGCCGCAACCACGTGCAACAAATGGTGACTTCAGGACGGTGAGGCTTAAGCCAAATGAATCGTCGAAATTTATAGTACAGCAGAAATTTTGTGCTTAAACAAGACCTTGTAATAATGTGCGAAATGCAGCTGAACCAATATTTTTTTACTTATGTGTATTGGATTACTTATCGTGTCTATTGGATCGTGCATCAGTTTCATCATATTACAGCCACGTGGATTACCTTCATGTTTCCATTTGTGATCATCTTTCAGACATGCGGATTACCTTCATCTTCCATTAGTGATAGTGTTCCAACATCAAGCGAGTGGATAATTTCTGTACATCAAGGTGATATTTTCTACCTTTTATTCCGCACATGGATTCGTATGTATTCGTCAAGCGGGTGAGTTTTTTCCTATATTCATTTGAACCCAGGTCCTAACATTAATTATTTTGTGTTTCTTCACGTGTACTGCAACAATATTCTTGAACTATATCGTTTTTTTTTTTTTGTTATCTGTATTTATTCATATTTATTATGGCTACTAGCGATCCTCTAGCCACTGATGACAAACAAATGGCTCGCGTTGCTGTGAAACCTGCCCCATTTTGCCGTAGTGACCCCAACCTTTGGTTTTTTTTTCAATTAGATGCACAATTCAAGCTCGGGGGTATAACACGCGACGACACGAAATTTTATACTGCAATTTCCGCCCTCGACACTGAGGTTCTTCAGTCAGTACGCGAGATTGTTCTGAAACCCCCCTCGGATAATAAATACGAGGAATTGAAAAATAAATTAATTTCAGTTTATGAGGAGTCTGAAAACACCAAACTAAAGCAGTTATTACAAGATTTGCAACTTGGTGATATGCGCCCATCCCAGTTATTGTCAAAAATGTAGGAGCTTGCGGGGTACAATTTTAAGTCCAATGTTTTACAATCATTGTGGCTCAATCGTCTCCCGAACAATATCCAAGCTATTCTTGCCTCCAGTAACGAGAACCTACCCAACTGGCCCAAATGGCAGACAAAATTCATGATGTTCTCCAACCACAAGCAATCAGTCAAGTTCAACATCCCAGTGTTTTGATATTTCATCTCTTCAACAACAAATCCAGGAATTATCATTGCAGGTCGCAGCCTTACAGACACGATCTCAGTATTATCCGCGCGGTAGATCAAAGTCCCGGAACCGAAATAATAGGGAATACCAACGCGCTCATTCTGGTACTCAATCAGACATTTGTTTCTATCACAGCCGATTCGGTGATAAAGCGCGCAAGTGTACACCTCCATGCAAATTTCAGAAGACCTCTTTAAACTGAAGGGACCGTCACTTAGTCCATTGCTCGTAACAGACAAACCATCAGGCAGACGTTTTCTTGTTGATACAGGTCCTGACATTTCGGTTGTAACTCCCTCTTTTGCCGAATCCAAACGGCCGCCTGGAAAATTTAACTTATTTGCAGCTAACGGGTCAAAAATTGCAACATATGGAGAAATATTAATGTCTTTGGATCTAGGATTGCGTCGCAAATTTCAATGGCCATTTGTCATCGCTGCGGTTTCGCACCCAATAATTGGTGCAGACTTTCTGCAAAAATTTTCTCTGTTGGTCGACATTAAAAATCGACGCTTACTCGACTCCATCACACACAATTGTCCGCGGTAGGTAGCATTGGAAATGCCACTAATTTTGGAATTAAATTAATTTCCGGTAATTCTCCTTTCCACAAACTACTTGAGCAATACCCTAACGTCATCCGCTCAGTAACTGGCAAACCGACTGCTGACCACGGTATTGTACACGTCATAGAGACTACTGGACCACACAATCTTTGCCAAAGCACGGCGGTTGCCTCCAGAGAAATTAAAGGCTGCAAAAGAAGAATTTAAATACATGCTTGAGCAAGGAATCTGTCGGCCATCTAAAAGTTCATGGGCCAGTCCACTCCACATGGTCCCTAAGAAAAACGGCGACTGGCGTCCTTGTGGGGATTATCGACGTCTTAATTCAGTTACTTTGCCTGATAGATATCCGGTTCCTCATATTCAGGACTGCATGCAAGTCTTGGAAGGCAAAAATATTTTTTCTACGTTAGATTTGACTCGTGCTTACCATCAGATCCCTGTCAATCCACCTGATATACCAAAAACTGCTGTAATAACACCTTTTGGATTATTCGAATTTCCTGTCATGACTTTCGGGTTATGTAACGCTGCGCAAACGTTTCAGCGCTTCATTAATGAAGTCCTTCGAGATTTAGATTTTTGTGTCCCATATTTCGATGACATTCTGGTAGCCTCGACAACTGAAAACCAGCACCTTGAACACCTTTGCATAGTCCTTGGCCGATTTCAGTCTTATGGTGTAGTCATTAATCCATCAAAATGTGTTTTCGGGAAATCTAAAGTGTCATTTCTTGGTCACGAAGTTTCTTCGGAGGGCGTTCGCCCACTTAGTGACAGAGTCACTGCAATTCAAAATTTCCCAGAGCCAAAAACTGTTCAGGAGCTGCGTCGTTTTCTGGCCATGTTAAATTTTTATCGTCGCTTTCTTCCTCATGCCGCTGAAAAGCAGGCACCTTTGCACACATATTTGGTTGGGAGTAAAAAGAAAGATACGCGGCCAATTATTTGGTCTGATGATGCCCGTACAGCCTTTGTACAATGTAAGAATGACTTAGCGTCGGCAACAGCTCTTAGCTATCCTTCTAAGCACCCTTTAGCATTAATGGTTGACGCGTCTAATACGGCCATGGGTGCGGTTTTGCAGCAACTGGTAGACGGAGCATGGAAGCCTCTGGCTTTCTTCTCGAAAAAATTTTCTGCAGCGCAATCAAAATACAGCACGTACGACCGCGAACTTCTTAGTGCGTATGAGGCTGTTAAACATTTTCGTCATATGGTAGAAGGTCGTGTGTTTTCTATCTATACCGACCACAAGCCGCTAATTTTCGCTTTTCGACAAAAGCCTGACAAGGCTTCTCCCAGGCAAATGCGTCATCTTGATTACATAGCGCAGTTTACAACCGATTTTAGGCATGTAGAAGGCCCTCAAAATACAGTTGCTGATGCTCTGTCCAGAATTGAAGAGGTTCAGTTGCCATCAACAACAGATTTCTCCGCCATTGCTGAATGCCAGAAACAGGACCCAGAATTGCAACATCTTTTGTCTGACAAGTCTTCTCATGGACTTAATTTAGTACCTATGCAGTTAGAACCAGATCTTTCACTGTACTGCGATGTGCAAGGTAATGTGGTGCGGCCATACATTCCACTGAAATTCCGGCATGGTATTTTTAGCGGCCTCCATAATTTATCCCATCCTGGCATCCGTGCTTCTCGCACGTTAATTCAACAGCGTTTTGTATGGCCTGGTATGCAGAAGGACATCGCTGCATGGGCGAGGTCATGTACAGACTGTCAAAAATCAAAAATTCACAGGCACACTCGAACTCCATGTCAACGCTTTGAGTTACCATCTGCTCGCTTTAGCCACGTACATATCGATTTGGTTGGACCCTTACCCCCATCACTAGGTTATACATATCTTCTTACGTGTGTCGACAGATACA